GGGTACGTATAATCTGGGAAAGATCAATGCCAAGAGGTTTGGCCTAGGATAAGTTGGTAGAAAGGATCTTCCTGAACCTAAGATGTTAGGAGACTTGTACAAAATTTGTTTTTCTTTCTTTCTGTAGAACTTGATACCTGTACTGATCTGAAGGAGAAATATGAGAAAAAGATCAAATGACAATCAGAGATGTAAGACTTCCAGAAATGGAAATAGGTTGCAGAATTATTTCTTTTCCAGATAAGAAGTGCGAAACGCTTTGATGCCTACGCTTCCGGAAATGACTTCAATGGTCATTTACATCTCTGGACAATATACAATCGAATATCATTAGATATCTGGAAATTTAAAAAACAATCTCAAATATTTTGGCCTTTTTCTAGAAATATGGTACAGCAGTCAACAGATTTAAGATTTTATTAAGAACTGACAAATGACAAGTTTGTTTGTTTGTCAAAAAAATTTCACTGAACACGATAAATTTTCAGTTCAATTAGATTCTAGTACAGGAAACAAATTATATGTTTTCCTGACACACTGTATATTTTGTAATAATTCATCCACAAAACATCAGCTAATAATATCACCTAATACCCTGTTATTTTACACATCACCGAATAATTCTTTTAACAATTCTCAGTTTTGGCAGCTGATTATTTTCTGTTTCTATAAATAGACCAAGATTAATAGACCTGCCGAATTTCTACGTTTTTTTCTGTGTTTATTATTTTCGTAGCGATATTTTTAGAAAGTCAGAAATATTAAGATACAAATATAACTGGCTCCCAAGTTTATCAGTTTTCATTATGAAATACTTACTCACTTATTATTAATATACTTCTTGATGTGAAATGTTAATTAGCTGCTATCAATGTTTCCTTAAAATGTTGTTACGGATTTCCGGTTTCGTTTTTGCTGTTTGGATGTTAGTGCTTGGTTTATTTTTAAACTCAAGAGCACGAATAATAACCTGTTTAGTCTTTCTAATTGAACAAGACAATGTGTTGGAAAGGAAACACTTTCTTGCAAAATTACCCTCATTGCACACTGCATGGCAATACTTGTTTTCTTTATTCCAATCGGAAGCAGAAACGTAGGACTCAAAATTCATTTCATGTGGATCCACTCAAACAAGACTGGCAATTTTAAAACCAACTCAACATCCCTGATTTAGTTATAAATGAAGGAATCTGATGTTTGCAGTTCCATCTAGTTTTTTATTAATCCTGAAGAATTCCAAGAATGCCACAGTTTAAAAATTAGTGCCTGAATTAGGAAACTTGTAATGTTAGTAACGCAGAATAAACAGAAATAAAAACAGCTTAACTTATGATATTTCTTAGAGAAATTTACCGCTGTTTTTTTGATGGCGTCTGTTGAGATGATTAGAGGGTGTTGATTTTAACAGCTTTATAAACATTGTACATCTCTTAACATTGTAAAAACATGATGCACGCCATCAAGATTATTCTGAAATTATATCAATCGTTCTAATGTTGTTGCCCTGTCATCATTAGCTCAATCAGTTGCAGAAGAGTTAGGATGTAAAACTCCATTCATTTCCAATGTTGTTTCTGCATGAGACAGGCAATTGGCTTGATTTTACATTAAAGTAAATTTAACATTATTAAGATATGATTAACCCAGAGATTATTTCAAAATATTGTAAAATATTTGTAAAAACATGTCGCGCACAGCAAGATTATATCGCTCTGTCGAAATCGGGTTTTGTGTGCATGTGCGTTCATTCGTAAAATGTAGGCCTATTCTTTCATCTTATTTTAGATTATTATGATAAAAATATACTGACTACCGAATTATTTCAAAATTATTGCATTCATTGAAATATATTTCGCTTGCCATTCGGGTTGCACGACAAAATAATTACAGAGACATTTCTCCAACTCTTCTCATACTTCTTAAGTCCTAAATTGGAAAGTTTTTGAGCTGTCTTTGCTGATGTGGGTTGTGTATCTGAAACATGTGTCAGCAGCATGAAACTAGATCTATGTCAATTAGCTAACATAAAGTCCTATCTCTGAAAGTTAACCTCCATTTCTAAAACTAGCTGTCCTGATGTGGGTTGTGTATCTGAAACATGTGTCAGCAGCATGAAACTAGATCTATGTCAATTAGCGAACATAAAGTCCTATCTCTGAAAGTTAACCTCCATTTCTAAAACTAGCTGTCCTGATGAGGATTGTGTATCTGAAACGTGTCAGCAGCATGAGATGAGCTCTAGTCAATTTAAGATATCAACTTTTAAATCACCTAGTACCTTTAACAAAAAAAAACCCAAATGAAGAAGAAAATGAGATGTTAAATGTTGCCAGGATCAAATACATACTTTACCAAAATAATTTCCACCTCATGAAGAAACTAAATATAGAACAGTCAACAATTGTTCATTGATGTAAAATTCATTAAAATATCTTGTAAAATGATGAAAACAGAAACATAAAGTTTTAACATCAACATAGGAAGTTTTTATAGAAATACCAGTGGTTTTAAACTAGAAATAGATCTGGTTAGATTCCTGCTAGGTCTAATATAGACTTGTTCACCAATGGAAGCCATGATAGCCTAATATTTAGGATAAAGTGGTTGAAAAAACAATATAATTGAAATTACAAATGCACTGGCCGAGGAGAAATACTTAGGGTGATAGTGATCTTGTTATATGCCTGCTAGGAAGCTGTGATTGCCTAATACTTAGGATAAATAAAGTAATAGTGATTCTGTTTGCTTTCACACTTTTTTTAAACGGGCACATTCACCATTCGTTCTATTAATCATACTTCAATCTCAGAAACAGGAATTGTTTAACAGTTAATCAGTAATATACTATGGTAAAGATAAAGCAAGGTGTTCACAGAAAGAATGAGCATCATCTTCCCACTGCTGTATACTTCACTCACTAAGATAATATCATGTCTCTGATACTGAAATATTGGTAACATTTAACCATTGGAAGTATTATTACGAGTGTATTAATATAAACAATAAGTTTCTGTGTGATTTGATATTATCGTGATGTTTTGATAGAATCGTGTTTATAAATATCATAATTTCAACAACTTGCTTTTAAAACTCTCACAGATTTATCTTCTCTCGGTCTAACGATGTTCTAACGATGTTCTAACGATGCCGAAATATAAACTTTATGTAATTTTTAGTTTTATTATATGTTTATTGATATGGAAATGTTTTTAAATATATATGTGTGTTGTTGAAATTGGATTAAAATTTTGAGGTTTTTCTTATTAGGCTCTGACCTTATTTGGGTGATGGTGCCATGGCTGATATGAATAATAAATTGTATCTTTTTTCAGTTGTTGGAATAGAGTACTGTCCAGTTCTGTCCTGAACAACCAAAATTGTTTAACGTTACATCTTATCTTGCTTTGGTTATTTCTGAATAAACCATACTGTAACAAATTGGTTATAATATGAAATTTGAATAAATTGTATCTTGATCTGTTTATTTTAGGTATTAGAACAACGTAGTGATGGAATATGGAAGGGGTATGTGGTACAGGAAGGTAGAATGGCTAAAACTGGGTATTTCCCTGCCAACCATGTTGTTCTTGTGGACAGTCAAAGTAAGTTCTGAATTTTATCATTTTTATTCAATTTTCACTGAGAGATCATCTTTAGTTTGATGTTTATAGAAAGAAAGAGACAGCCTTTTTACAAGGATTACAACTTGCGTCTGCCACCTGATTTTTCACCAAACTTCTTGGTAATACTTTTACAAGGATAACAATTTAGGTTCACAAGGAGTCTGTCTACCAACTGGTCCTTAGCTAAACCTTTTGTCATTGATCTTTCTCATTTTTAAAGCCAGATCGATTGGCGAAGCAAATATTTAGGGGAATACATTCTCTTAAACCTCTTATGTTCACAAGGAGTCTGTCTACCAGTTGGTCCTTGCAGTGATCATCAGTCGTCTGAGCCAATCAATCAAAGCTCTACATATAATTTATTTCAATTTTTATTTCCAGCTACCAAACAGAGTCCCCAATCTAAAGGAATCAGGACACAAGTTCCAGATCTTCTCAACCGGAGTATGATATTTAACAATCATGATAGACGGTCGTACGGTAGTACTGGAACAGACGACAGTTTACCCCCACCCCCATCACCTAGTGGATACCCTTCTAGCCCTTCTAGAGGTAAGGCCATATTTTATATCTACCCAAATGCAGTAAAGAGTTTTTATTACTGTCACCCATGTCCATCAGTACATTTGTTTGTCTACAATTGCATTGGCCTTGCAGACATTTATCTTCATGACACCAGGTAAGCTAATTGTATTAACAAGACAATTAGGTTGATCAAATTCTGGTCCAAAGTATGAAGGTAGTAAGAATCATCAGGTTTAAAAATGATGTGAATGAATATCGTGAGTAGTTCTCTGCTTTCAGACATTGAAACAGTAAAATTTGAGAAATCTTTTAGCAGATTGAGACCAGGTTTGTCTCACTGAATTTTCAGATGCTTCAGACTGAAAATGTATAAAATAAAGAGTGTTCTTTTGTCTGGTAGTCTTGCTAGTCTTTAGTCAATCAAGAGTTAAGGCCCTTCTTTCATTGAGTTGTATCTTTGTGGAAGTAGTAGAAAGTCACTGCCAACTTCAGGAAAAGTCAAAACTGTAGAATCAAGGGTAGTAATTAGTCCAAACTATGACAGGAATGTAGGACATTTGGCTCCATTTCATTTCATTACCATAAGATATAAAACTTATTTCCAATTATTAATTAATTATTAATTTCTGTGTGTATAATAAAGTCACTGTGTGACATCCAACACCATAAGAATGATGTAAAAGGCAATATTGTAGGACGAAACATTCTTAACCGTAGGTCCACCATCTTAGTTTGCCCAAACTGACAGAAACATAAGATATACAAAAAGATATATAGAATTTATTACAAATTGCTGCAAGTTTTATCTTAGTGCGTGACATCCAACGCCCAGACAGACGGCAGGCAGGACAGTTATATCAGAGTGTCCTCGTTAACAAATGGGTGGTTCTTAAACTTTTCAAATTTCATTCTGCGTATGTATGCAGTTTTTAACAATGAACATATTTTGTTATTGTATGCAGTTTTTAACAATGAACATATTTTGTTATTGTAAGCAGTTTTTAACAATGAACATATTTTGTTATTGTGTGCAGTTTTTAACAATGAACATATTTTGTTATTGTATGCAGTTTTTAACAATGAACATATTTTGTTATTGTATGCAGTTTTTAACAATGAACATATTTTGTTATTGTATGCAGTTTTTAACAATGAACATATTTTGTTATTGTAAGCAGTTTTTAACAATGAACATATTTTGTTATTGTGTGCAGTTTTTAACAATGAACATATTTTGTTATTGTATGCAGTTTTTAACAATGAACATATTTTGTTATTGTAAGCAGTTTTTAACAATGAACATATTTTGTTATTGTGTGCAGTTTTTAACAATGAACATATTTTGTTATTGTAAGCAGTTTTTAACAATGAACATATTTTGTTATTGTAAGCAGTTTTTAACAATGAACATATTTTCTTATTGTATGCAGTTTTTAACAATGAACATATTTTGTTATTGTAAGCAGTTTTTAACAATGAACATATTTTGTTATTGTGTGCAGTTTTTAACAATGAACATATTTTGTTATTGTAAGCAGTTTTTAACAATGAACATATTTTGTTATTGTGTGCAGTTTTTTAACAATTTTGAATTTTATTTTCAATGCATGGTAGGCCATGACTATGATTTTTTCTAAACAAGAAAATAGTTAAACTAACCAAGCATAGACTGATTTCATTTTAAACAAAGTTTTTAAGTTTTCATGAAAAATTAATGATAAGGTATTAGATTTCATATTAATATAGAAACAGTTGGTGATGTATTCATTTCAAATTCTCTGTTGAAAATTTTATATTTTTTGTGAATAAATTATGTTTTAGAATTTTTCCACCCACCCACGTATTTCTCTGATGTTATATCAAGCATGAATCTATGTTAGTTTTGATTCTATTTATGTTGTCGAAGTGTTTCTTCTTCTGTAGTATTTTTCATTTCAGTCCAAACATATTGCCTATTAGTGCTGGTTTCTGTAGCAACAGCTTTTTTAGGGTTTGGGGGTGCTAAGCCGACACCCATACCTCATTCTTTTGCAATGCCCGCTTGAGACCTGCTTAGACCAAGTTTGATAGTAAATAGACAGTAATTTGTATATTGGGTTATCAATTTGCACCAGTCCAATTTTCAGGCATTTCTGTGGTTCTTGCAAATCCAAGCATTTTATGACGCCACTGTCCTGCTGACAGATTTTCATTTATAAAAGTACAACTGTGTGTATGTTTTGTGTTCTACTCGGCCATTTTGATTGAAATTTTCATTGAAACTTAAAAAACTAGGCCAGTAGTCTTCTGCCCCGGGCGATGTAAATAATACAGACCAAACGGAAACTGGTATAATATATTTTATATTAGTGAATGGGACGGCACTTGAATCTTGTTTACTGAGAAATACGTATTTTATTCTCTCACCGGGGGAGGGCCGGTCTTCATTCATTCAATAGATTAGTTTATTCATTCATTATTTGAATAGTTTTATCATCCAACCGTAAAAAAAAAACTTTGTTTTAAATGATATTGGATGATTTCAGTTGGATTTCATCAGTTTTTTTAATAATAAGTTTTATAACATGTAATAAGAATATAAGATTTTAAGATGAAGCTTGTTGTTGGTACTACTGTAAGTTGAAGAAATGTGTAGAGCTCAAAAATGCATAATTTTGCATTATAAATCTTGACTGTTGTACTGTTGTACTGATATAGCAGTTATTTCAAGTTAAGCTATAAAAAAAAAAACACTTTTATCATATAAAATATATCTATATTGTGTGTGGCTGGACCAGTTTAAGAAATCAGACTATATTAAATGATAAAGACCAGTTATATAAAACAGACTATAGTATAGATAGTACGGAGAGAGACTATAAAGTGAATATCCAGTGTTTTTATTCTGTGGTGTTTTTATACTCATTAATTCGTGTTTTAATATCAACATCATAACAACGCGTTGGTTGGTTGTAGAGTCGTAGAACGACCATCGTGCTGTTTAAATCACCAATTGTTTTTAACATTGACATTTAACACTGTAAGAGATCAAAACAAGTGTCGGACAGCTAATGTTTTGTTTATTATTTCTGTAATAACTGGATTATAAGAGTGGGATTTTTATGACAATAATGTGGACATCCACAGAAGCACTGGCAGTGTTGGAATAATATGAACTCGAAATTAGGTAAGGTTTATTAAGTCGCAGGCTGGATTGAAGAATATCAAGTTAATAGAATATTGGATCAGTTGTGAAATGTTTTATTTTATTGATGAGCAGTTAAGATTATTGTTTCAGAATGTTTAAGTCAATTAAACTATGGACAAAGGATGCTGGGGGGAAAATAATTCAATTTATGCTTATTAATGTCATGAGAAATCAGAAGAGCACATTGTGGCTGCCCTCAGGAAATGTCTTTGATAGAGATGATATTGAAATTCAAAATGTGGAACTCTTTTTATTTCTTTTTTATTGTCTTCTAAATACAATATCAAGGATTGACTGAACTTTGAACATGTTATTTTTTCTGTGTATTTTTTGCTCGGTAATGGAGTAGTTTTGTACACGAAGTTGACCAATTGTCATTGTTACGATTTTTTTTCATCCATTTTGTATCATGTACTGTCGTCTGCTAAATGGCCATTGTTGTCATATTACTACAATGATGAATTGAGTGTTGTTGAGGATTATTAAAGCTGTTCATAGACATTAACCAGAAATTGTCATTGACAAAGCTGTTGCTTGCTTGGTGAAAAAAGGCTGGATATAGTGTGACGTGACAGTCATTGGACACCCCTTGACATTCTATTGAACTCTTCTACACATGCATTCTCTCTATTAATGACACTGTATATGTTTCATTGGAAGAGCTCATTTTTAAAATTAGGTTTTAATGGTCTCCGTATTTTCCCTTAAAGTGCAGAAAAGTAGGACGTAAAACTCCATTCATTTCAGTGTTTCCTCTTGGTGTAATTATTATTAAAGATGGCTGTCGACCCGTGGTGAGATTTGATGCTATTTATAGATACTGATAACGTGATAAACTATATTATATGTAAAACGGTATTATATCAGATGATTAGATAAGTTTATTTATAGTTTTATTATGTCATTCAGGTCATGTCCTTAAAACTCTGGTAAAATTTTTAAATCAATATTTGTAGCAGTATGATTGATAGGCCCTGTGTTTGACAGTTGGAAATCGATAATAAGAGAATGCTGTCCTGGCAAAATTTCCCTCAATGCACAATGCATGGCGTTGCCTGTCTTCATTAGTCCAAACAGGTTGAAGTAGGCCATAAAACTCATTTCATTTTATTTCTATTTTCTTGAAACTGTACAAGATGACCAATATTAAACCCGTGTCTATGTATTTGGATCATAAGATTTGAGAAACAGGGGAGAGGTCCTAATTTTCATCCAAAATCATGAAAAATTGTGACCTGAAAACCACAAGGGCAGTGGTCAGTGTTTGACCCCAGAAAGCTGAGTTAATATTTATGTCATCTGGGGTCGTGTCCTGAAAACTGTCCGAGATAACTAACTTTCAGATAAAACATGTTGTAATCATGATCAAAATATTTGTAACATGGTTAACACAGAAATATTACTGATAAACTGAATATACCAGACACAGTTTTAGGATCTTGACTCTGCCTTGACTTTTAAGCTTAGAATAAAAAAACTATCAGAATCTTGCTATTTTGGTCCTTCGTATGAAACTTAATACAATGTATTTGGACGGCCCCTTTTCTCTTTCTTTCCTACCCTACTCTGTACCCACCCCATCTCGTACCCCTATCACCTGTCATATTTGTGACTGTGCATATCTTACCTCAATATAACTTAAGTCTTTATGCAACTTAATACAATGATTTTACCTTGCCCTCTCCATCTTGTTTCTCTTTCTTTCCTTTCAATAGTTTACGGTATCACCTGTCTTTGTATGTTACTCTGCATAACCTACCTCAGTAAAATATGAACGTCCCTCTTTCTCATAGCTATTTCTATCCTTCCTGATCCATCCCTCAATCCCCACACCCTCCTCTTTACCTTGTATGTGACTGTACATATTCTACCGGAATATAAACTAGACTCAGTATAATATAATACAATACATAGCGTTTACCCCTCCCCCTCTCTCTCAACCCCCCTCCCCTATCATCTGCCCTGTATGTGACTGTGTATATTTTATCTCTGAATAACCCAGACTCAGTACAATGTAATACAATCTGTATAAAAAGTAAACTTGGTATTTAGAAATTTTATCTAACAAGAGACAGGACTGAGGTGTAATTTGTTTTTTCTGTGATTTCACATAAATTGAGTGTCTGTCTCTTGAATTACTTGGTGGGTAAGATCTGCCATGACCCCCTCGGTATCTCGAGAGATGCTGTTGATGATATCAATTTGACACGAAGTTGCAGAATTCATTCCTTGACAATCACTTAATTAAATACCCAACCTATATAAATCAGTTTGTGGGCATTTTGGGTAAAAATAGTACCCTCAGGTTAGCCCAAGAACTAGGGGCATGTTCAATTTCATACCCACCCTAATTGTCCAGGGTTTGTCATCTGATCTAGGATTATGTAAAACATTTTAGCCAGATATTTCTCACCTGCTGTTTTTGTCTGATTATTCAGACTCCAGAACAAACAAAACTTTTCAATTTTTGTCTCTTGAAACTTAAAAAAAAAAGCAAATAGAAAATGCAAAATTTTGTGTATGAGAAGAATTTTCGTTGAATAATTTTGAAGCAAATTAATCTTTTGTTGTCGGATACAAATTGCCCATTGGGTTCATAGTCCCGTCTATATAAGATGATAATGAAAACCATGAATCAGTTATCCATTCTAGAGGTAGATGGTGATGCTGAACAACAGTGCCATGCTGTTAAGAGTGTCAAGTTTTTAGCTCATCAAAATGTGCTGTCATTGTATTGTATTGTTTGCAAGACAAAAAGCCACTCTAGAGTTTGTAAAGGATAGGTTTAATATTAGTACATGTATAATTATAATCGGTTATATTTTATATTTTCAGATGTGAATTATTCCAGTCAAAGTTTAACGTATTCTCTACAACAACAGGTAAGACCAGTTTTATTCTCTAACTGTCAAAATACTACCAAAATAACAGGCACCAACTACTCTACCATTTCAGCCAAAATACTTAGAAACTTAACTCCATTTAACAAATACAGATACCTTGCTCTAACCAATAACTTGAGGATTACAGGCCCTAATAACAGTGGTAGACAGGATACTTGTGAACTCAAGTTGTTATCCTTGTAAATCTATGATAAGAGGTCTGACCAAGGATCTGCTGGTTGAAAGGATCATCAAGCACCATTGTCCTTTTAAAATATTTGTCAAGAAGTTTAACCAAGGACCTGTTGGTAGAAAGGATTTTATAGAACCATAGTTATCCTTGTAGAATAATTGTCTTGAGGTTTGGTCAAGGACCAGCTAAGAGAAAGGATCTTTGATAACTTGAATTGTTATCCTTATCAAATCTTTGCCGCGAGGATTTCCAAAAAAAAAACGCTGGTAGACTGGATCCTTGAAAAACC